TTAGACATAATTTTTAAACTAATTATCGTAAAACCATTACCACTCTTATCATATAATATTATCCTATATGATATCTTTGTGGAGCAAATACTCAATTTGGTTCTTTAAAGATGGTGTAAGTGATCAATAGATCTCTAAAAGATTTTTTACTGTATTAGGGTACCAAAATTTTAACTCTATTATGTAAATTAATTTTCCTATTATAATTTGTTATTAACTCTGTTAATTTTTTGAACAATCAGTAATTAAGTGTCATACATATTTTCTCTTCTAGTTAATCGTTCTCTCTTCTAATTATGTGATATGAACCATAATGCAAGATTTTGATACTTTTCGATCAACAATATGAGTGTATACCAAACATTTTCCAGAATATGAGTGTTCAATCAATGCATGTTACCACAAACTAAACATTGAACAACAAGAGTTAAATTTTGGTCTCTTTTACTTTCCCTCCAGCAAATCTTAAACCATCGTATGCTTCACATGCGCGGGGGCTGGCAGCGAGTACCAGCATGGAACCCTTCTGTATATGCTGTGTTCTTAAAGATCATCTGCAAATGTTATAAAGAAAATTGAAATTGGAAACATAAAAATGTAACATGGAGGCTTTAATTTCCTGAAAAGAGGAAAAGCTTACTAGCATCTTCATATATATACTTACAGCAAGGTTCTTAAAATTGAATGCTAGCTAAACTGTTAGTCGCTAATTTTGGAGACCAATTTTACACACTAAGAAACCAATTTAATTAGTGACTCATATTATAGTAGTTGATTTAGTGACTGGTATTTTAGCTACCAAATAAGTGACGGATATTATAACAACCAATTAAGAGACCAATTTTATAGCATTTAATTAAGAGATTGATTTTATAGTGACCAATATGTTAACATATTATATAGCAACCGATTCAGCAACATATTTATAATGACTAATGTAGAAACTGATTTTGTGACGAAAACATCAGTCTGCAAATTGATCTCTAAATTATAAATTTCTAGTACCAAACAACTTGTGATTTCTTTTGTATCCACCTAATTTTTTTAAAACCAATTTATCCATTTCTGCAATTTTTTCTATTTTTTTATAGATAATATTCATCGAAAGTTCACTTCTTGATTATATATATAAAATTATCCAAGAATATTCATCTCATTTCACTATACAATTGATAAAGATTAAAAATTCCCACTAACATCAAAGTCAAAATTGACATGTCAAGAGATAATTAAAATCATAATTCATCTCAATAGAATACAATCGTGTAATTAAATTTGAAAGGAGGTAAAGTGAAATGAAAAAAATCACTAAATACATACTATGTATAAGTTCAGAGGACTTAAATACAACTAGAAAATCTTTGTTTCCTTTACCTTCTATATATACTTCTTAAGGTTCACAAATGAATGAGACTACGAGAGTTCCTTGAATATTGTAATGCCTTGTAATTGCCTCTTTTAGTTTATCAATAGATTAAGAGTGAGATAGGAAAACATTGTAATTCAACAAAAATACTACTAAGCAAGGATTATATCATGACAACTATGAGCCAAAATATCAAATTATATAAAGATAGTTGCAATTCAAGATGTTAAGCATACAAATATTCGTCAATATTGAGCAAAACCTAACAAAATAAGACTAGGTGATTACAAAAATTAAAGAAATGATAGTTCTAAATTTTCTCATCCAATTTATTTTAATTTTACATTTTTTAGTGTTAGATTTTCCTAGTAAAAATTAAGACATTTCATATGAGAACTCAAGTTTTCATGAGTTGCTTACTTTAACTATCATAATATGATTCATCTCATCCTGACATGATCAACTTTTAAAGGTCCCTACTGGTGGGTATCAATGTAGCTAAAGAACACTATGTAACAAGGCAGAACATGATAAAAGAGTCATTAGCAGAGAAAGAGAGTGAGGAGCACGTGGAGGAAGGGAAATTGAGGGCCAGGAAGGGCTCTCGGCCCAAAATAACTAACACCAAATTGAAGGATTATCATTGGCTGAAGGAATAATATAAAAGGGGCCGTTAGAAGAGAGAGAGTGTGTGGAAGGAAATTGTGGATGATCCGTTCTCTCTTGGGATCTTTCTTGTTTTCATCATTATATTTGCTATAATTTCTTATTTTCTGCATATTCCACTGACGTTGTTTTGCAACATTGATAATTTCGTAATGAGGATGAAATTCAGTACCATTTGATTTCTCTTACTGTTATATTCCAATTTTTCTTGATTGTTACCTCATTACATTGGTGCTTTCATCTCGTCATGGCGGAAAATACACGCATGAAGGAACTCACAGCGGACGTCAAGCGGATTCTAGAAATAATGGAATCACGTGAGAAGGAGCATGCTGCTCGTTTTGAAACGTTAGAGACGACGATGGAGATTGTAAACAATATGACTATTTTACTGAGCTTTTCAGTGCATCAAAGCATAATGGATCTCACATGAACCTAAAATCCTGTGTCATACTTCTTCATAGATGAGCTAAAAGATAACATTTGGATACAAAATACCATCAACATTTAATTTCCTAAATTATCAAATAGTAAGCAAGCATGAAAGGAAGTCCTGTTTGGACTTCAGACATCAATTGATGGACCCATGGTGTTGGACATATACAAGCAAAATATATCCCTAATGTAGATGGTTGCATCTGTTATAATATTCATCAAGTTTAAAAGATTAAGAAAAAATATGAAAGCATTTTTTTTCCTTTTAACAAGGGAGTCTAATTACTTACATATGGACATGTCATTCGACAGTGGATGGAAGAAGCAGTGCTTCTGAGTCTTGAATCCTTGATCCAATAGCAGTGAAACATCTCTTCGGATAGGAAATGATGTGACATAAAACAAAAATAAATTAGTTCCTTGGAAATATATTAGTGCAGTGAGTCAGAAAAATGTTTATAAACAGTCTAAGAAGCAAAAACATAAACATCTCCAACATAGAAGTCCCTTCGACAAGCCAGTGCACTAACAAAGTGAGTATGTCTAAAATCGTGAGATTATTTATCATTCAACAGATTTAGTTCATAACTCAAGAGAAGACATTTTAAATTTGATAGCAGGTAAGAATCAATAACTAAATTCAGAACTGGTAGAATTTTTCTTAAATTAACAAAGAAACTTTATAAGAAAACTAAAAGAAGATAGAAGAACATGATTAAAGACTAAAGTGAGAAAGCTACAAGGAAAATAGCGACAGATGGATTTCAAAGCAAAATATCTTAATAGTGAAAGAGGGAAACGCCTTCAGTAAATAGCTCTGAAGATCGGTATTGCAATCGACTGGATATGTGAGTAAACATTCCAAAGAAAAAAGATTAGATATCTCATAAGTAACCAAACAGAATAAGAACATGAGTATACCTTGCTGATTCATTCACTAGTGCAAATGGAGTGACACAACCTAAGGGTACCTGGTGAGTAGGAAAAAATAAGGGCATTAGGTGTAAGACAATAATTTCAACCGTGCCGATAACACAATGTTGATTTTCCTTTTAAATTATGTAATTATCTATTTCTCACTTAGCATAACACAAGCAATCATTATACAAAAGAAGATTGTTGGTCACTTTAACGGACACAGCTTCTTATACAAAGTAATAAGCATAGAGCGAGAGGGAAATAAAGATTCCAACAAGAAAATGATAGAAGAAAGGCATAGACAGACCTGAAGTATTTCACCTAAAGCCTCCTCAGGCGCCATTCTCAGGCCATCTTTTCCCAAACCAAGCCGCTGAGATAACACTGCTCAGCTTTGAAGCAACAAAGAAATCCTATTAATATCCATTCAAGTAAAGCGACACAAACACGTGAGGTTTACAAAATTATGCATACCTTTGAGATCTACTTTGGTACCAGCTAAAGCAGAAACAACATACAACCTGTTTTTCTTGTCCTGTTTAAATTAAAAAAAAAGTGTAGCAATCAAAGCACAAAACGCATAACAATTTAAAACCAAAAAAGGATAAAGAATATATAGATTTCAAATTTCAGTTAAATTATAGCATACCTTGAGAAACAAATTCTTACTCAGCCCACCCCCCAAGTGTCCAACATATTGAGCTTGAAAAGTGAAAACGAATACTGAATGAGAAATATGAAAATAAAATGAACAAGACATAGCAGATAGTATTAAAGGATTTTACCTGAGCGTCAACGGTCAGAACAGTTGGATGCTCATACTGGGAAAATGGAATCTGAAGCTCCTGTGAAGAAAAGAGAAAACAACGCAACAGTTAGTGAGGGGCAATGAGGGAAGCGAAGGTGCACAAAACAGAAATGTTGGAAGCTCGTTTTGTAAAACCTTCAAGCGCGCCACAAGTTGTTCGTTTGAGAAACCCATGATGACTACGAGTGGCGAAATGAATGGTGATGGAGTCGAAGCGATTGCAATTCGCAGTGCAAAACAAACTACTGCGTTCCAATTCCAATTCCAAACCCGAAAACAGTGTGTAATAATAATATGGGTTATGGGTTATGGGTTATGGGCCAGTCACTCAATGGCCACACCTTCAAGGCCCACTAAGAAGCTTGGCCCAATTCTATAATTTCCTTTTGTTTGATTAGTTAAGTAAAACAATTTGTTATAAAAAAAATATTCTATAAGTGTTCCAAGAATCTATTTTTGATTAGTTAAAAACTTAAGCTTTTACATTGATTGTGTATATTTATTAAAGTCTTATATAATTCATATCCCTGATTTATATAAATCAGTCTTACATACTGTGTAAATAATTTATGAGTTAAATTTTGATACATTATTAATATATTTTTTCAATAAATTGGAACTTATCTTAGACATAATTTTTAAACTAATTATCGTAAAACCATTAACACTCTTATCATATAATATTATCCTATATGATATCTTTATGGAGTAAATACTCAATTTGGCTCTTTAAAGATGGTGTAAGTGATCAATAGATCTCTAAAAGATTTTTTATTGTATTAGGGTACCAAAATTTTAACTCTATTATGTAAATTAATTTTCCTATTATAATTTGTTATTAACTCTGTTAATTTTTTGAACAATCAGTAATTAAGTGTCATACATATTTTCTCTTCTAGTTAATCGTTCTCTCTTCTAATTATGTGATATGAACCATAATGCAAGATTTTGATACTTTTCGATCAATAATAAATATTTTTTCAAGTTTAAATATTTTAATCATGGGTGTTTTAATTAAAATAAAAGGTTGTTATTAAGTTTTATAAGTTTCCTATAATTAAATTCTTTTGTTTCAATCATCATTATAACTATATGTTTAGGGTTAATAAAGCTGTCACATATTAAGAGGTCATTAATACTTGCTAGTGATTACTTTATATTAAACTTAGTTATATTTCAGCATCATGATACTTTTAATTTACATTAAAGTTTTTTATATGATAACAATAACTTAGAATCTCAAGCAATCTACTTAAATTCTCCGTTACTAGATTGACTCTAGAAGTTTTACGTAAAAAAAAAACCAAAAAAGGTTGCATAAACTTATAAATATAATATAGTAATCGTATTAATTTTTTTATTATTATTTTGAGGAATTTATTGTTATTTTATGATAACAAATAATAATTACCCCTAATTTCACATTTCGAAGTCATAGATGTCAGTGAGTGAAGTTTATGATAAAGTATAAGCTGGTGACAGTGTTACAGCTAGTCAAGAAAAGGAAGAAGAAAAAAGTCGAACATTCCAATAACAATAAACAATTTGTTCTGTTTAATCAATTCATTAATTTTGGCAATAAATATTTTAAAATTTAATGATAGTGCAAAAAAAATTATATTGACAATACACAAAAATTAAATTCAAATCCCATTTTTTTTTTAAATTGTCATTCTTATTCTTGCAAAGATAAAAATGATAGAGGCCATCATAACACACTTTATTTTGAGCAATCTTCTTTAAAAATATTTTTCTGCTGCCGTAATAATAACTAAAGTTTGTTTACACGACTGTAATCCCCAGTGTCCAATTAATTGTCAACTTGTTATGTGCTCCTAGAATTCCAAATTCCCACTGTCAACATAAAATAGTTTCAATTTTTCACTCGCACGTTTTACACCAAACTGTGGCATTTGATTAAAGTCTTGTGGGCTCGACAGTGAACCCAAAAAAAAAAGAAGCAATATTGTCGTTGTTAAGACGCCTTCACGGTAAAAAAAATAAAAAAATAAAAAAATAAAACACTTCAAGTATACGTGCAAGATATTTTGCATCTAATGTTGCTTAAATTTGCGTTGTTGGCTGGCAAGGGTGCCATGTGAAACAAATCGAACGTTTTCTTGATTGAAATCTACCGGATTCTTGATTAATCAACACTTGACTAAAATTATGTCTTAATAAGGCCAAGCATGGATCATTTAAGTCATGCTTAATGCTGGATCTCGACCTCCCCACTCCTGCATTTTCTTTTTGGTGGCCAATTATTCTTTCTCACAATCATTATATTCCAAGTGAATGATCCCACACGAAATACCTAACCATTGTTTATACTTCAACATATGCCTTCTTTACATAAGATACGTAATCATGTTCCTAATGACATTTAAACATGTCATAAAGAAAATTAGAAATGACGAGCCTAATAATTATGCCCATGTTGAATTCTATAGTACATGATACTTCTATGAGCACAAAGTGACAAAAAGATATACCCACTAGTAAACTATTAACATAATTTCGAAAGGAACTTGTATCGGGTAAGTCATTCAGCCACTCAATAAAACCTAGATAGTTTAAGATCTCTCGACTCCTCGGTAATCTGCTTGACACTCTCGACTCCAAAGATTTCAGTGCACGATCTGGTATCTTCAGCAATCAAAGGAGACACTTCATCCGTTCAGCACCTTCGACTTTTGAAGTTTGTTTGCCACCTTCAACTTTTAAAGTCCATTCGACACCTTCGACTCCCAAAAGTTATGTTGAACTTTCGGGAGCCGAAGGCCCTTCGACACCTTTGACAACTGAAAGGATTAAGGTGTACAAGTAATCTTTTGAATAATTATTAACCACTCTTAATCAGAGATTAAGGATTAATTGTGGGTACAAAGTCGATCATCGATATATTACTTAATTGGTAACCCTAATATAAGACCCATTGAAATCTGGACCTATTAATATCAATATAAATAATTTTTATTTTGAGGTAAAGTGACTGGTCAATTATTACTCTTGTCGATATTTGCGTCCTACTTACTTGAACATCAAAGTATCTTTTACAAATATTTCATCCTCTGCTTCTTGAGTTAGAACTTTTGTTCGACCCTCAGATTATCAGAAAATTACTAATGTGTCCTCGTCCATGTATACAGAATTAATTGGTTTAGAAAAATATATAACAAGCTTGATTAAGTAGTGCATCTAGCAAGGCAATCGCTTGTTGATATCAAACAAAAAACTATTTACAAAATGTATTATAAATTTATAATCGCGTACTGATTGACACATTAAGCTCACATGCTGATGGCCAAAATAAGGACATTCACATGCTGTGTCTCAAAACGTAACATTTAGATTGTCATTTAGTTATATCATTTTCAGGTGCATAAAATAGAGAATAAGCTAAATTAAATTGATGCCTTAGGAACATAATGCTATGTAGGCTCAAGAATATGTACATGTACATGCAGATTGCAGAGAAACAAATTAAGGTGTCAAGGGAAAGGGTAGATCCCCTGCCCTTCTTCCTGCGTATTGGTGAACAAGTAATACCAAAAGCAAAAGCTTTCTTCTATGCTCCCATTGCCTCTTTGTCCATGTTGAGTTGAGACTAGTTAGATGCAATGTAAAAAGAACAAGAGAGAATGGCATCCCATGCCTTCACCCATTTCACAAAAGGACGGGTCATGTCTGCTGATTCGGTTCGGACACGTGATCCGGATCAAAAGTTGGCCAAAAAGCGTCAAAGTTTGTCTAGCCTTCTTATTGTGTAAAGAATATGATCTTGCATATAATATTCTGGACACGTTACACTAACATGAAATACAAAATAAAGAGTTGCTTGCATCGACAGGCATGACTAGAAGTTTTCTTTTTCGCTAGATATCATATGCTACTAAAGGCAAATAAAGTTGGCCCAATTAAAAAACAATAGAAATTGAGGAATCATCATACAATCAAATCATCGTTGATTTGCAATTACAGTATTATTTTCCCTTCATCAACTCAATTATTTAAAAGCATTCCCAAATTCTACCCCAAAACTATAGGAGGGAGAGGGAGGGTAACAACTCTCGAGGTAGTACAAAATCGACCACTATGCACTAGGCTATCCAATCCATCTATGCATAAACTGGAAATTAACCAAGATTTATTTCCATCTAAGAGAAAAATAAGGTATAAAATTCCAAACTTCCACATTAAAACAAGGGAACACTCTTTGTTCTTTTGGCACACTAGAGAGCAGACAATACTTCGAAAAGACACACTTTTTCCAATGGTTTCAATTTACCACGCTCTGTACATGGTTCCCTATTCTCATTGAATTGGAAATAAGCATCTCTGATACCTTCCCATGCAACAAACGCCTCCCCAAAGATAATCAATAACAAAAGCTTCCTTACATTAAAAAATAGTGAAAGGAATTGCTTATAACCAAGGATATTGATGACTACATGTTTTTTTCCTCTCTTTATTCTGTGACACATGGGAAACCATTCATGGCATTGACATAACAAGCTTTGCATCAATAATACATAATCTCAAACTCGTAGAAATCCACATAAGAGATGCCAAAAAAATGTCTTCTATGAATTTCATCTAATATGCGCTGCTATGTAGCATATGGTATACAAATTTTAATATGGTCATAATGAATAACATCTTCAAGTTATACCACTGAAGACAAACAAATTGAATTTTTGAGAAAAGGGAAACATTGGAGTTGGCTCGAGTTTTTCTCAACAGAAGCTCCACAAACGAATGTCGCTTTCTTCGTATAGATCATCAAGCAGATGAGACGAATCAGCATCAAAGAAAGCACCACTTAACATCTGATCAACATACTTGGGTGATTGAAGATCATCAGCAAAGGTGTACCAAGGTTCCATCACAGCCATTGATTCATTTGCTTGATCAGAACTAGTGTAGGCCTCAAAGGATGATATTAGTGAGGCTTCATCATCGATTTGATCCGAGGGAGAAGAAGCCACTGAGGGGGATGAGACCAATGATGATGATGATGAGGTTGATGGAGGAGTTGGTGAAGGGGGAACAGTGGCATTGTTAATGAAACTATTTGCAGCTACTGCAGCAACTCTTTGGATTGATTTGGGAGACATGCAGCATCTCCTAGAATATATTGTGAAGAGCTTGAAGGGAAGTTAAGATTTGCTGAGGAGCCTTTAAGGCATAGAAGTGCAGCATCATAGGCTCTTGCTGCAGCTTCCGGGGTTGAATAAGAGCCAAGCCATATTCTTGTTTTCTGGTTTGGTGCTCTAATCTTTGACACCCATGACCCCCAGCTCCTCATTCTCACTCCTTTGTACTTCTTCTTCTTGCTATCTGAATCTGATGATGATGCTGATGATGAGGATAAAGATTGCATTGCCTTTGATGGTTCCGATTTGATCTTGTGCTCTGACTTAACCATGATGGATGGCTGCAAGTGCAAAGATCCTTCTTCAGTGAATAGAAAATGTTGAAGAGTGGTTCTTTCTTTGAGGGTACGTGTTTCTGAGGTGTCTCTCTTGCTCTTTTTGTTGAGTGCTAGTTTTTTTTCTTTCTTTTTTTTCTCTCTCTCTCTCTCTTCTTACTGTTATGAAAGTGGGGAAAAGAATCAGATTGGAAGTGAATGACTGAATGTAGGGAAGAAGAGGTCCACTATTTATAGATAGATACTGATAGAGCCATAAAGAGGCTTGCGTCTCAAGTTAGCAACAAGCAAATCCTCGGTAGTCAATATACGACATTGTTGCCAGATGGTTTTCAGTTTATTTCAATTTAATACGGACAACTTGGTTCTTAAAATTACTTTTCTGTCCTTTCTTAACGAAGCTTCCTTGTATGGGTAAAATATGCTTATGCTACTTACCATATGTAGTTAAGCTTGTTATGAAAACAGTCGAATACAGACTTAATGTCTTAATAGACTAACTTGTTTGGTAACCTTTTTTTCTTGAGAAAATTATTTTTTCTAAACTCTCAACCAATGATATATCGTAACAAATAATTATATCTCTAATCTGAACTAAACTCACACTAACACCAAATTATGACCATATTGTAATTGTGTCGAATATCATCCATTGTTGGCATGAAGGATCAAATAAACTACTCTAATTCGTTAATCTAACTAGACAAAATTACCATTTAGCATCAACAGTCAAGTACTGTTCTTTTAGCACATTTTTGATCACTTGTTATGTATGAGCTTGCATCCTGTGCATTAAAATTTGATGTTCTTCTAGGAGAGTTTTGATTTAGTCGTCGCATAATGATAGTTTTGGGATACTGAAAGTCAAGGAAAATTTATTCTACGACAGTACAAAATAAAATGTGATACGACTTTTTGGTTGATAACTTGGCAGGGTAGTTAATACAACTCAAATGACTAGGGACAAATTACAAAATTTTTAAACAACACCTGTAGTTGAAGGTGGGCAATCCATGGGTGCATTAAACACGAATCCTATAAACCAATCAGAAACAAGAAAATAAAGTAGATTAATCTTCTTGTCTGTTTTAGCTCTGACTTGGGAATAAGTCTTAATATTTAAATGATGACAAACATTTTTTATGTTTATAAATCTTGCAATAAAATAAAAAAAGTAAGGGATTTAACAAGACTTTTTTATTTATTATTTATTAAATAAATAAACATTTGTTTACATAAAATTGTCATACATACAGTATAAAAGTTTCAAATGAATATATATATACTTAATAATATATATTATTATATGTTATCTTAAGTTGTACTAACTATTTTAGGAAGGTGATATTGCTACATGTGATTGTACGTTAATATTTTTACATTAATATTGTATGTAGAGATCGAGAGAGACACATTGGATTCTCTTTAAGTTAAGAGGTAGCTTCCAGGTGCTGAAGCTTGACAAGGATTTGAACTAAAGCTGTTATGCACAAAAAGTTGGAAGGTAAAATATATATACACAATGCTCGACGCGCAGTTCAATAGTGAACCCATTTGCATATGCAATCTAACAGCTGTTGCTTCTCTGTACTCAGCTGCAAAACCGCGTCATGGACCCTCCTTTCCTCATCAACTGTGGCCTATGTACGTTATCCTTTTCTCTTTCTAAACTACAAAACAATATAATAAAATAAAAGCGTAACATCCTCGACTCAACGGTATTATAAAGATGCTTACTTGCTCTAGATCATGCTAACGCCTGCATAACTTGACTTTTTCACTCCTTTTTATCCTTCCTTACTTGTATTATATTTATACTTTTGACTAATGCCATCCGTATCTATACTTTCACTCTTGCTTTTCTAATTTTTATCATATGATTGCAATGTAAATCAAATTTATACACTTGCCTAATCTAATTGTCCAGCATCGCTTTATGTGAGAATGAAAAATATAAAACCAATTAAAGCAAAATGTAAGGGGCGTTTTTCCTTGTTTTTTAGTTTATTAAGGTTTTGAATGGTATTTCCATTCGTACAACTCAAAGACAATTTTGAGTACTATTTAATTTGGTTTTTACTTTGGGGAAATGCCAGCTCTAGATCTCAAAATCACTCCATTCCCTTAGTCGAAGGAGCTGGTCCAATAAAGGTGCGTCCTTATCGATACCCACATAGCAGAAAGGATCAAATAGAAGTTATGATAACTGATATGCTCAAGGAAGGGATCATTGTCCCAAGCACGAGTCCTTTTTCCTCTCTAATCATTCTGGTCAAAAAGAAAGATGGTACTTGGAGGTTTTGCACAGATTATAGAGCATTAAATGCCATCACAGTCAAGGATAGTTTTCCTATTCCAACTGTTGATGAGTTAATTGATGAGTTATATGGAGCTACCTACTTTTCTAAGTTGGATTTAAGATCTGGATATCACCAGATTCTTGTAAATGAGGAGGATAGGCATAAAACAGCCTTCAGGACACACCAAGGTCACTACGAATGGCTTGTCATGCCATTTGGGCTCACAAATGCTCTGGCTACGTTTCAGTGTTTGATGAATGAGTTATTTCAATGTTACTTAAGGAAGTTTGTCCTTGTATTCTTTGATGATATACTCATCTATAGTCCCACATGGTCAGCCCATTTGCAGCAGTTGGAGGTGGTTCTTAAAGTTTTGCATCAGCACAAATTATATGCCAAACTCTCCAAATGTTCATTTGGATTGCAGCAGGTGGATTACTTAGGCCATACTGTGTCAGGAAGTGGAGTAGCAATGAATCAAGAGAAAGTCCAAGCTGTCTTAAATTGGCCTTGTCCTACTAATTTGAAGCAGTTAAGAGGATTCTTGGGACTCACGGGGTATTATAGAAAATTTATCAAAGGTTATGCTTCCATTGCAGCCCCTTTATCTAATCTGTTGAAGAAAGAAAGCTTCCATTGGACTGAACAAACTACTGCTGCTTTTGAAAATCTAAAAGCTGCAGTTACCAAAGCACCTGTGCTAGCACTACCTGATTTCTCTAAATTGTTTACCCTAGAGACTGATGCCTCTGGTATAGGAATTGGTGCTGTATTGAGTCAAGAAAAACATCCAATAGCCTTCTTCTCTAAGAAACTTACCCTCAAATGCAAAGACAACCAGCTTATACAAGGGAATTTTATGCGATTACCGAGGCAGTTGCTAAGTTCAGACATTACTTATTGGGACATCGATTTGTGATTAAAACTGACCAACGTAGCCTAAAGTCACTTACTGATCAGGCTATTCAAACTCCGGAACAACAGAAATGGTTACACAAATTGTTGGGATACGATTTTTCTATTGAATACAAACCTGGCAAGGAAAATTTGGCTGCAGATTGTCTTTCAAGATCATTCTTCATGGCTTGGTCCGAACCAAAATTGCAAATTGTTCATGTATTGAAGGAGGCACTACAAGCAGACCTTCAGTTACAGTCTATCAAGGAATTGTGTTTGCAGAATAAGGCACCAGACCCTCATTACTCAGTCCATGATCAATTGTTGTATTGGAAGGGCAGGTTAGTGATTCCTAATAGTCATAACTTGGTGAAACAAATTTTATATGAGTTTCATACGTCCTTGTTGGGTGGCCATGCTGGTATGGCCAGAACCTTGGCTAGAATTTCGGCTCAATTCTATTGGTCAGGTATGCAGAAAGATGTCAAGGAATTTGTACAGCAATGCCTAGTTTGTCAGCAAGCTAAAAGTGCCACTACATTACCAGCAGGCCTATTACAGCCTCTCCCTATTCCTATGCAAATTTGGGAAGATTTAGCAATGGATTTTATCACGGGACTTCCACTCTCTCATGGTTTCACAGTGATATTGGTGGTGATTGATAGACTATCAAAGTATGCTCATTTCTTCACTATGAAAACTGATTATACTAGCAAACAAGTGGCCGAGATATTTGTTAAGAATGTAGTTAAGTTGCACGGGTTTCCAAAGACTATTGTGTCTGATAGAGATAAAGTTTTCACCAGTCAATTTTGGCAGCATTTGTTTAAGCTCAGTGGAACTACAATTAACCTTACTACTGCATACCACCCTCAATCAGATGGTCAATCAGAGGCTCTTAACAAATGCCTTGAAATGTACCTTAGATGCTTCACTCATGATTCCCCTAAGGATTGGGCTCAATTATTACCTTGGGCTGAATTTTGGTACAACACTGCCTGTCACAACAGCAGTGGTATGACACCTTTCAAGGTAGTATATGGGAGAGACCCGCCAAAGTTGATTAAGTATACAGTTGACCAAGCTGATCCTGTGTCACTCCAAGAACAGCTTTTGACCAGAGACCTTACAATTAATAAACTGAAACAGAATCTCCACAAAGCTCAAGGCCACATGAAGAAATATGCAGACCAGAAAAGGAGACAGCTAGAATTTCAGATTGGTGATTTGGTTCTAGTAAAGTTACAACCTTATAGACAACACTCAGTTGCTTTGAGAAAGAATCAGAAACTCAGCTTAAGGTACTTCGGACCATTTCCAGTCATTGAAAGGATTGGTTTGGTTGCGTATAAACTCTTACTACCATCTACAACCAAAATCCATCCGGTGTTTCATGTTTCTCAACTCAAGCCATGCAAAGGAGAACATACTACACCTTATATTCCATTTCCCTTTACCAATGTTAAAGTGCAGCCAATAATTCAACCAGCTAAGATCTTAAAGGAGAGGGTTATTGTTCAAGGCCAACAGCAAGTTCCACAGAAACTGGTCCAGTGGCAAGGATTTGAGAATGAGCAAGCTACATGGGAAGACACTACAGCATTACAGCAAGCTTTTCCTGACTTTAACCTTGAGGACAAGGTTAATCTTAAAGGGGGAGGCATTGTAACAAGGCAGAACATGATAAAAGAGTCATTAGCAGAGAAAGAGAGTGAGGAGCACGTGGAGGAATGGAAATTGAGGGCCAGGAAGGGCTCTCGGCCCAAAATAACTAACACCAAATTGAAGGATTATCATTGGCTGAAGGAATAATATAAAAGGGGCCGTTAGAAGAGAGAGAGTGTGTGGAAGGAAATTGTGGATGATCCGTTCTCTCTTGGGATCTTTCTTGTTTTCATCATTATATCTGCTATAATTTCTTGTTTTCTGCATATTCCACTGACGTTGTTTTGCAACATTGATAATTTCGTAATGAGGATGAAATTCAGTACCATTTGATTTCTCTTACTGTTATATTCCAATTTTTCTTGATTGTTACC